ACTTCCATCAGGCACGTCACTTATTATTTAATAGGGCATGTGCATTTTCCCTGGTTATGTTCATTTTTTCTTTATTTTCTCTAAACTGTTTAGAAAATATAAGAGCTAGTTCTGAATTCTTAAAGATCCAACTTTGCCTCTTTGTGTCAAGTAGAATGCTATATACAGTAAAGCCTCAAAAATATTTATGAAATGAAATAAAATTGATTAATCATTTATCTTAAGAAAATTTGGCCTTTTCATTCTACTTATTACCTAGAAGTTAAAAATCCATGTGGAATATGAAGATTAATTTATTATTTCCTTAACATTCTGGAAAACAAAACCAAGGCTACTATAGAAGACCTAGATTGGAGATTGGATCTACCACTTGCTATATATGTGCAAATTACCTTACCTTGCCGTGTTTTGGGTTTCTAGCTTTAAGATTTGAGAAACTGATTATTTTAAATAGCAATTGGATGATATGGATGAACCTAAGGTATTATAACTTTAGTTTTTATACCTTTAGATTTCTGTGTATCTGGGCTGGGAGAAAGCCAAACACCCTAAAAGCCCCCAATCTCAAAGCCAGTTCCTGTATACTTACAGTATTTTGAGAGTGGGCATGATGTACAATTGTTGCAGGCAGTGTATAAAAGTCAATCTGCACCAGTCCTGGAAAGTAAACATTTGAGGTAAGCATCCAAATAAATAAGGTAAAAGTAAGTATTTTTTCATAAAACTCAAAAAATCATTAACTTCTCTCAAATTTAGAATGATGTGGGGGAGTGTAAGAGGTAAGCAAGAGAGAAAGAAGCATGATTTGATTCCTTTCCATTTCAGGACATGTAGAGTCTCTGAACTATATGTTATCATAATGAAAATAAGTTCATTGCAATCATATTAGTCCCTTAACACTTTGGAGAAACCCTTTATATAACAGACATACGTTAAGATAATTTGAACTATAAAGGAAGCCATATTCAAGTATGATCTAAAATTTAAGTTAAAAAATAAGCATTTTGTGAAAACAAATGATCCTGGAGAGTGAATCTGTTGGGGTTAAAACCTGTAAAGGGACAGTCAGCTTCAAACATACGTGTGAGTAAGTACCCACATACTAATTCAGAGGTTAAAGTCACATGTTTAATACTTGGAGAGCACATGAATGCTTTTATTAGCAGGTGAGACCCTAAATGACTCTGCTCCACACGTGCGGTGCAATGCTCTCTTCGGAAACTCACTCTAATGATCCTCTCAGTTGATGACTAAGCCACAGACCTGATTGTCTGTTAATTAAATGCTCTGCCATGATGTTTCTTCACTGAATTACGCTGAAGCATTTAATTAATACATTACACTCTGCCATAGCATTTTCTTATGTGAGACAAGAATTTAGCTTTTTAACTATAAGTTCAATTTTTCTCTTTATACTTTTTGGTCATTTTTGGCAGAGAATGAATAAAAGCTGAATGATTTACAATACAAGTTTGAGAAGATTTGCTTGGAGACAAAAAGTAAAAGGTAGCAGAGGACCATTTAGGCTGTGTTGTTTCATGACACCTGTTAGAAATTGGAATACTCAACTTGTCACCTTACAACTATACTTACATAGTTGAAAATAAGTCTATTTTATTTCCTCCTTGGCTCTGAGGAGTGTGATTTTATTTTCCCTAGCAAAACTTATAAGTCTTTCCATTACATGTATTTGGGTTTGGGACTGTAACTTCTCTTATTGTTTCTAAGGAAATGGCCAGGAAAGGTCACACATCAGCTTTTTAGAGTAAAAATAATGAATGGGCATTTGAAATGAATAAGAATTATTCTCACCCTCTGTCCCACCTAGGCCACGTGTTCGCCTTGTGCCTCATTTCCCACAACTGGAAGCTCCCAGCTGAATAATCATATCCAAACATGCTGAGCTAATTGAAGAAAGGTGCCATGTAAACAGAAGGTACTATTATTATGGTCATTTTCCCAGACCTTGGCTTCCCCACCCACTTCCTCTAAATTTACAATGAGATGGAAAGCATAACCTCCTCAAGCGGATGCAGAGCAAGAGCAATGCCTTTGGTGCCCTCAAGTGGTTTCCTCTAGGTAGAGGTCAATTGACCACAGAGCCTAAGTTCATAACAAGGAAATTATTCCCTTGAACATTCCAATTTAAAGGGGGAATGATATACGACCAAAACACTTATGGCCTTTTAGATGAGTATTTTTAAACAAAATATTTACATGAATTAAAAGTGCCAGGCAGTCTTCAGTATTACTAAAAATAACATTAGCCTCTCTTGTGAATGGGAGAGGACAGGCACAGTAACTATTTTTCTGGCTAATCTAATCACTCAACAAATTGTTCGAGCATATCTTTCCATCCTTAAATTGGAGGCTGCATTGAAGATGATGCATGAGGGTATGTGGAGGTACTGAGCAGACAGCCAGTTCTTTATAAATATTTCCTGAGTGTCTCTTATATCAGGTCTACCACCATTAGGTTGGGTGAGGTCCTGGCTGACCTATAATGTCTTTATTCCCAAAAGAAAAGCATTTAACCAAATGAATAAAGTTCATCTTCTCTACTTCACTGCCTCTGTGCACACGCTGATGATCAAAGTAGAAAAAAAACACACACACCTTATTACAGATCAATGGAAAAGTTAGGAGACTGATGATCAAAGTAGAAAAAAACACACACCTTATTACAGATCAATGGAAAAGTTAGGAGAGTGTTTGAATTTGAAAAGTCAGAAAGGATCGGAGGTCTATGAGGTCTTCATAAAAGTTTGGGGGCAGGAATGAATGCTCTCAACCTATCCTTGTGAGGCTGTGTGGTTGCAGGAGGACCGATAGCTGGAATCAGCCTCTCTGTGGCTGGACCTTGGCTTTGCTCCGTAGTCAATGGAAGGATGTCTGTAAAGACACAAAAACACCTAGCAATAAAAACAATTAATTTCTTCTCTTAAAGTAACATGGAAACATTAATTTACTCTGCTCCCATATATACATTATTTTGCCATGTAAAAATATTGGAATATTACAACATATTTATGATGTGAGTGCACAATTTATATTTTGCAGTGTATTAAGTTTTAACCTGTACTCCAAGTAGATAATTCATGTTTAGTATGTAGAATGGTGATGCTAAGAATTGGTGTAATATTTTCAAACATGAGTGCAATAGCTAAAGGAAGCCTTTCTCCCTGCCAGGTAGGCATGCCTTAGGGACTCTACCTGCTAGGTCAATGCTGCCCTAAACAGATAGCACCAGTCTTCAGGTATCAGCTGTTCCGAGGTGGAATATTCGATACTGAAAACATGACTAAAATAAAAGGTCAAGTGCTATCTTCAAGGAATAAAGCTTAGATAGAGAAGAGGTAACAAGGAAGTTAGTTGTGCTAATAAAATCATCATAGATCCTATTAGGTGAAAGAATAATAAAAATCTACCCCTCCATAACAAACTTGGTGGTTTTTCTCCTCTTAAATTTCTTTTCTTTTCTTTTTAATTTCTCCAATGGGCTCGTGTGATTTTGGCACTGGAACAGGTTGAAGTGAAAACAGGAAACCATCCTTCCTCCGACTCTGCTTCCTGAGGGGCAGAGCTACAAAGTGCTGAGGACCAGAGGGGTGGACTCAAGTCAGTTCCTGAAATCTTCCTAATTCAGTTTGGTTCATTCCCTCTGAGGGAGACTTGCTGTTAATAAACATTGTGGCCCAGATTAAGAAAGAACATTGACAAAAAATTAATTAACTTATTTTATGGCACTAATAAGCTAAATTGAAAAAACAAAACAGGGTAATCTCAAAATGCTGGAAAGGTATTTGAAAATATTCACAAATAAAGACTATTTTAGTATATTTGAAATTGAAAGATGTATTAAAAAATAGGCAATAGGTTTTCTAGTGGTAAGAAATATATAAATATTGAAAAAGCGGGCAGAGAATTATTATATGTAGGTGATGTACCTACCAGGAGACTGAATAAATTACTTTGACAACTGTTTAAAACCAAGAGATTTAATCTAAGTGAATGATTGTACTACCTACATATGAAAATTAGTAGATGTTCACCATTTACGATATCAAAATAAATGGAAACATTGTAAATAAAATAAGAACTATTTTAGAAAAAAGTTTGAGAGGCTTAATAATAGAAAATGATTTAGTGGAAATATGGTGTATTGTCTTACTACTGGTAAAATTTTCTTCGGCCAATGCAGCCTTGGGGTGCAAGCAGTAAGAGGGGAATCGTAGTTCTGGTGGCAGCCCCTGGACCAGAAGCAGAAGCCCAGAGCGCGGGGAGCACCAGAAATGCTGAGAATCGTAGTTCTGGTGGCGGACGCGTTGTGGGATCTCCTAGACACTAGAGCAAAGTGAGCCTGGAGCAAGTTACTGTTGTGGGTGGGGGGTGGAGGGAGAGCAAAGGTGAGAGACATAAGTAAAGTCAGAGTGTCGAGGAAATATTAAAAGGAAGATATCCTGCAACTTCTAGGAAATCTCCACCAATGGAGCAAAGAAAAAAAAAAGACCTCTACTATTGTATGAGCACAAAACCAAACTGGGTTGGGGTCTCAGACAATTCGCTCACATGATTGCAAAGACAGACAGAAACTCCCAGATTGGAGAGGGCTCCCCTGAGGGCTCCCAGTTTGGAAAGGGTGCAGGTTGGGCTGAGGGACCCACCCCCCCCCGCCCCGTGCACAAACTTCGTGCACCTGGCCTCTAGTATTATAATAACTTTGTATGTTGACAGGTGATAACTAAACTTATCATAAAAATCATTTCAGAGTGTAAATAGGTGCTAAATAATTATGATGAACACCTGGAACTAATAAGAGAATATATGGGAATTATACATTCACTAGAGGCCCAGTGCACAAAATTCTTGCATGGGGGGGGGGTCCCTCAGCCTGACCTGCACCCTCTCCAATCCGAGAGCCCTCAGGGGATGTCCTACTGATGGCTTGGGCCCGCTCCCCGTAGTTCTCATCTCTCTGCGGGGCCTGCCTGCTCCACACCATGGCGATGGCCAAGCAGGCCCCGCTGGGTTCTGCCTGTGGGCACGCTTGCCTGCTCACGGGTTACCACGGCGACGGCCAAGCAGGCGCTGCTGGCCGCAGACACTTCAGAGGCGGCAGAGCAGCGAGGCTTGATTCGCTACCAGAGTGGGCGAATCCTGCCTCTCTGCTTGGTCCCCACAACCCCTGGCCAGGCCGACAGGCCCAAACACTCCAGCGGTGGGGCTGAAGGGACTGGGCACCGCCATCTTGTGGCTATGGGCGCCGCCATCTTTGTGATGGAGTGATGGTTAATTTGCATATTACTCTTTTGCTAGATAAGATTACTGACTATATTACCTCTGCTATCCATTATAGCCCCATGACTTACTTATTTTATAACTGAAAGTTTGTATCCCTTAATCCCCTTCACCTAGTTCCCCACCCCCCAATCCCTCCCCTCTCTGCTACCAGTTTTCTTCCCTGTGTTTCTAAGTTTGTTTCTATCTTGTTTATTTTGTTTTTTTTAGATTCTACATATAAATGAAATTATACAGTATTTGTCTTTCTCTGCCTGACTTATCTCACAAAGTATAATACCCTCTAGATCCATTCATATTGTCATGAATAGCAATGTTTCATTCTTTTTTTTTTTTTTGGCTGAATAATATTCCATTGTCCATATATGTATACCACTTCATCTCACCTATTCATCTATCAATGAATACTTAGGCTGCTTCTATATCTCCTCTATTGTAAATAACACTGCAATGAACACAGGGATGCATGTATCTCTTTAAAATAGTGTTTTTGTTGCCTTTGGATATATACCCAGAAGTGGAATTGATGAGTTATATGGTAGTTCTATTTTCAGTTTTTTGGGGAAACTTCATACTGTTTTCCATACTGGCTGTACCACTTATGTTCCCAGTAACAATGTATGAGGGGTCCCTTTTTTCCACATTCTTACCAACACTTGATTATTTTGGGTCTTTTTGATAATAGCCATTTTAACACATGTAAGGTGATATTTCATTGTGGTTATGACTGCATTTCTCTGATGATTAGTGATGTGAGCAACTTTTCATGTGCCATCTGCATGTCTTCTTTGAAAAATGTCTGTTCAAGACCTCTCTTTTCATTTAAAAAAATGGGTTCTTGAGTTTTTTTGATATTTAGTTGTGTAAGTTCTTTATATATGTATTTTGTATATTAATTGCTTATCATCGATATGATGATATCTTTTCCCATTTAGGATGTTGTTTTTTCAATTTCTTGATGGTTTTCTCCTTTTTTCAAAAAAGGCGTTCTGGTTGCTCTAATGCAATTTGTTTATTTTTTCTTTTGTTGTCCTAACGAGACTGGTCAAACAAAAATTGCTAAGGCTGATGTCAAAGAGCTTTACTTCTAGAAGTTTTGTGGTTTCAGGTCTTATATTAAACTATTTAATCCACTTTTAATTTATTTTTGTATATGGCATAAGATAGTAGTTCAATTTCATTCTTTTGCATGTAGCTGTCCAGTTTTCCCAAAACCATTTATTAAAGAGATTTTTATCCATTCTATATTGTTGCCTTTTTATGTCACAGATTAATTGACCATATAGGAATAGGTTTACTTCTGGGCTATCTATTCTATGTGTTTGTATTTATGTAAGTATTATACTGTTTTCATTACTATAGCTTTGTAGTATAGTTTGAAACCAGGAAACATGATACCTCCAGCTCTATTCTTCTTTCTCAAAATTGCTTTGGGTATTTAGGGTTTTTGTGGTTCATATATTTTAAGATTCTTTATTCTAGCACTGAGAAAATGCAATTGGTATTTTGATGGGAACTGCATTAAATTTGTAGATTATTTTGGGTAGTGTTAAAAGTTTAACAATATTAATTCTTTCAATCCATGAGCATGGTATATCTTTACATTTATTTTTTATGTCATCTTCAATTTTTCCCAATGTCTTAAAGTTTTCAGAGTACAGGTTTTTCACCTCCTTAGTTAAATTTATTCCTAAATATTTTATTCTTTTTGATGCAATTATAAATAGTAGTTTTTAAAAAATCTTCCTCTGAAAGCTTGTTATTTGTGTATAATGTATATCTATATATCAGTCTTTGGGGGAACTCCTAATCTGTTTTGCCTCATCCAATAGCTAGCTGCCAGGGGTGGGCAAACTTTTTGACTTGAGGGCCACAATGGGTTCTTAAACTGGACCGGAGGGCCGGAACAAAAGCATGGATGGAGTGTTTGTGTGAACTAATATAAATTCAAAGTAAACATCATTACATAAAAGGGTACGGTCTTTTTTTTTTTTTAGTTTTATTCATTTCAAACGGGCCGGATCCGGCCCGCGGGCTGTAGTTTGCCCACGGCTGTTAGACTGTTAGTTTTTACTGCTACCATAAAATTGAGAAGCTGTTGGATTTCAAAGCTACCATAAAACTGAGGCATGGACATGTAATTTGGGCAAACTAAAATGTTATAAAGATCAAGGTTCTTACTGAGATTCAGCCCTTCTCTTGAACAATTTCTTTTTGGATTGTTATGAGCTTTTAGTTGATTGTCAGAGTTTTGAAAAAGTTAAATTTGACCATGCGTGCAATCTTTTTAAAAAATATATGTTTTTATTGATTTCAGAGAGAGGAAGGGAGAGGGAGAGAGATAGAAACATCAATGATGAGAGAGAATCATCGATCCATCAGCTGCCTCCTGCATGCCCCCTACTGGAGATTGAGCCCACAAGCTGGGCATGTGCCTGATTAAGAATTGAACCATGATTTTCTGGGTAATAGATTGATGCTCAACCACTGAGAAACACTGGCCAGGCCAGTATGCTATCTTAAACTGTTGTAGAAGACCGAAGAAACCCAAGCAACACTTAGAGAAATGGAGTTACACAGCTTTATTACGTCGGCGGTCTCAGAAGAGTCGCCTCCAAAATCTGAGCAAAGAAATATAGTGGGAGCTTTTCCTTTCTACCCTTTTGGTGTCTTTGTCCCCCAAATACGGATTATACTTCCAGACCTTTTGCTGGCTTTGCAAAATGCCCCAGGTGTTGGGGTCTTGAGACCATACCTAAGGGCCTGCCCTGGCGCCAGCGCTGATTACCCCTCCAGGGGCTGTGTGCTGATCATTCTTTACGGCCTCTGTAAAATGTGAGCATTTAGGTAACAGGTCTCGCAAGACCAGTTTGTGGAGAAAGGGACAGTGACTTAATTATAGGTTATCCAGAATGTACATTAGATTGCTGGCACAGATTCAGATTGCTAACCCCCCAAATATCAGGGTTACATTGGAATTAGCCTTTTAGCCTTCTCAAAACAACTTCCGTCATTTCAGTACAGGTCCTGACATGGGTTTTTAAAAACAGCAATTTTATTTTTATAAGCTTTAATAGGTGTTGCCAAATCACTAATCCTATAATTTGTAAATAAGGCAAGTTTTCTTCCTAAACTGGTTCTAAAGTCAATTCCAAAAAAATATTCCAAGACATTATCTGAGTCAGTGGAAGAATATTTTTAGAATAAGTAAAGCAGACAACTTTCAATAGTGAATATTTTGAGGGCAATAACATTCATGTGGATTTGTAAACTCTGTATAGTTTTAAAAATTATTCTCATCTTATTAGTGCAGTCTTGTCTAAAATATACCAAATTTGGAGTTAGCTGAGTTCACATTCTGCCCATATCATTCACTAACTGTGTAATATTGAGCAAGTTCTATAACTTCACTGATATTCAGTTTTGTCATAGTTAAGTGTATAACAATAATAATGTCTTTCTTAAAAGCATAGTGTGAGGATTATAAATATAATTTATTTAAAGCACAAAGCCTGCCACAATGAAGATATCCTCCAGGTGGTAATTATTGAAAGCTGTATTGATATCAAATTAACTAAACTAAGAGCAGGAGCATAAGACTTCTCATCCCACTCACATCGTACTGTTTTCAATTTTATGAATTAATAGGTTGCAAGCTTTATAAGGAACAGGGTTTAACTGCTTCTCTCTCTCTCTCTCTCTCTCTCTCTCTCTCTCTCTCTCTTTCCGTTCCTCTCTCTGAAATCAATCTTCTGTAGAACCCAGATTTTTGACAAGTATGAAGCAGTTAATTCAATAACCTTTATTTCCCATATTCTTACTGAGCACTTACTATGCTCATACAAATTTAAAACTAGTGAACACTTTGGGAGTGCTTAAATCTGCCTTGTCTTGTTGTCTTGTAGAAATGTTTGATCACTAGGTGGCAGCAATATATAGGGAAGGACACTGAAGACGTGACTGTTGCGGTAGTTAGCTGTTCTACATAAGCACAAGCAGCTTGTTGGCCTCCCAGTGGCTGGTAATGGCCTGACTTACTTCCTAATTGTAATTCAGGAATGCATTTCACAGCTGGTGCTAATGAAGCAAAGTCACTTTCCTTCCTTAACCATCCCAACTGGATTCTCAACATGATATTTTAAAAAGAGCTTTGAATCCTTTTTTAGTGGAAAAATATTGCTGAATGAACAGTATATTCAAAAATGCTCGCATTGCATTTTGTGTTACCTCCTACTTCAGCTCAAATTGCCTTATCTTCTACCTGTTTCTGTAGCTGTGTCATGAATCTCTAGTAAGAATATACATATTCTTACATTTACATTTTAAAATTTATATTTATCATCATTCCTCAAATTTAATTTTCCTCTTATATAGAAGATAATTGTTTTAATCACCCAAAACATAATAGAACTAGCTGAAAAAATTAAAAATCTTTTTATTTTAAAATAATTACAGGTTTATAGGAAAGTTGTAAAGACACTACAGAGAAATCTCATATATGCTCGTGGTGAGAATATTTTACCTCTCTTTGTGACCCTTATGGCAGTGCCATTGTTCACACAGTTGGAAGAATAAAGGACTCACTAATAATTACTCCAAAAATGATCTTACCTATCAATGGATTGGATAATTTTAATCAGATATTGTTTTTCAATGAAGTTTTCTGTATCTAGTACTGTCCGCGGAAATCCAATATTTTGAAAGTTACTTTTGTTTGCCTAAGGTTTTGAACCAAGTTGTTTCTCATTATCATTTTGAAACTTCTTACATACCTGCCTTGCATTTTATTACCAAATATCAAGGTGATAGGGCAATTTTGGACTGGCAGGATGGTCTCCCGGGCTCTTT